TTATTTTTATTATATTATATTTACGAAGAAATTAACAAATACTTTACAAAACTACCTTTTTTGGGGCTCGTGAACGAGTGTTATGCAGTTGTCTTCCTTGTTAAATTTGGCTCCCTATTCATTAAATAAGTCTGTTGAGAACCCTACGAAAATTTAAAGTATTTTAAATCGCCTTAGGAAAACTGCGTCATTAATTTCTCGAAGGTCTGAATAGTTTTCAAAGTGCATTTATCACTCTGTTATGTACAGAACTAACTTGGTTATATTATCAATCTTTGAAGTTCGTTTGCTTTGAACAAGTTCTCAAGTTGTTGTGGCCGCAGTGCGTATTTCCAATTAGCTCTATTATACTACTTTGATAATTTTTATATGCTGACAACTTTTTATAATTGTGTCCTTTGTTGCTTTGTTTCTAGTCTCTACTCACTGCGCTCTATCAATTATAAAAGATACTGTGCAACTGAGCATGAAATTAGCTGCGTGTGCTGTTGCCCTTTCAGTACAGTAGTCGCTCGCTAAGTAACCCTGACTTTAGACTGGCGTACACGGTCAGCGCTGTGGTAGTCACAGTCGATATCATTTCATTTCATTTCATGTTTATACATACATATTTATTCCTACCTATATTAATTTATGCATTCTCTGTTGATTGCCTGCGTTACAGTTGACAAGTTTTCGCCCCGTTCTAGGGTGGGTGGACTCCACTCCTCCGTTCAGTTGGAATTTTATAGGTATAGGTAAAGCTTGTCGTCGTCAACTTTATGATAGTTAATGAGTTGTAATGGTTTCTTATTTCCATGTTCTCTTGTCTCTTGCTTTATGACATTGCGGCATTGATTAATTTTCAGAACCAATAACTACAAGCTGACATTATGCAGCCTTTCTCATTTTATGATATATACATAAACAGAAATATCTATAATTCATTTATCTTCATAGCTCTTGCTGGCATTTATCTAATGTTTATTCTTTGTATTTCTTCATTTTGCAGACGTCGCGGCAATTGCGCAACAAATAATATTTCTGTCTAAAGGTGAGTTCAACTTTCAAAGCCGCAAATAAAAAAAAGAAAAATAATTTGAAAATATCTAAATTTAATAATTAATTAAATACGTTGTAGGCGTATCGAATGGCAAATATTCTTATGCAAGAGCTTGTGTTGGTCGGGGTCACTCAGGGGTTAATAGTTCATTGACTTGGCTCATGTTTGGTTATATACGATATATCATGTCTAATGAAGATTTAATTAAACGCAAAGCTGTGCGAGCCTTGTGAGAGTAGGTAGGCTTCAGATAGAGTGTTAAATATTTGAATATATTTGGATATATAATCATCTTAGTTAATCCACTAGTCGAATAATAATTTGCATTCAATTTGTTTGAATTTCGCATAATAATTGCTAGAAAATATCACAATTCTCTTGATATATATTTAACATTATTTCGTAATTTATATTAATTTTTTTTTAAGATAAGAAATATAAAAACAGATTTAGAGCAATATTCGTTCAATTATTTTTTGGGATATTTTATCAGATATGTTTTATTTATTTTAATAATTCTTACAGCAATTTAAAAATATTTAACATTCATACAGCACGTGTTAAACTATTCATTTCTTGCCCAGTCTCAACACTGTTTTTCCTACCATATCATATTCAGTGCAGCACACAAAATTCCATTCAGATCTTATCTAACGCTAATCAAGTTGGCTGCTCCACTGACCCAGTCAGTGACCAAGCTCCGTCACAGTTGATAGCGTGCATAGTGCACATGTAACAATCATAAATTCTTTCATAAATACCGACGCCTTAAGTGTGTATACGAAAAGATAAAAGCGAGAACTCTAATCATTTCAATACAAAACTTGGCTGCATCTGGCGGGGCACAGACAGCGCAGTTATCAGCGCTTGGTGGCTGTGTATTGACTCAGTCAGGCGGCCAGCTGCCGACCCAGTTGCCAGCTGTTGGTGGCAACTGCTTAATCAGCGCATTTGAGAATGTAATAGAAAGGTGCCAGGCGCGGTTCATTCAACTCATGCACAAATGCAGACAGAAGCTGCCTGCTTTGGCATGCAAAAAGTGTAATGCACTGCTCGATGATGAGTGCTTCCTGTATGATAAATGCTTGCCAGCCAGTCGCACATACATACATACACACACACACACACACTCCACACATACTCCCCCGAAGCAAATATCTATATATGTGTGTCAAGTTATTGTTTGCAACTTCATAGACACTCGCTGCCGCGAGATACTTTTCTATGGTATGCTGCTGCTGACGCTGTCATTGAGCTGGTCTTTTGTTTAGCTTAGCTGCACGCCCTTTCAAGGCAGCTGCGCATTGTGAGACTTTTGAGGAAAAACTTGTATACCCATATACCGTGTATATAGGTTCTTCTAATTAAAAGTTTTATGCTGACAGCAGCACACCTACTGTGCCAGAGGCTTTGCGTACGACTGCCGGCTTATTACATTATATTATATTTAGCGAATTTTCCACTTTGCGGCGCCTTATTGAACAAACCAATAAATACAACTTGGAAAAACTCTGGCTTCAAGTTAAGGAGAGGGCGAGGGCGTAGGCGTAGGCGTTGGCCTGAGCGTGTGTGCAGGCATTTGACAACCCAGGAAAACACGTTCGGCACCACATGAGGTCGCCACTTCTCACAGATCCGCGCTCCTAAGTCGCTTGTTTGTTTCGTATTCTTATACTTTACTTATATTCTTTTCGGTGTTCTTCTTTTCATATGTATATAATTTTCTCTTCGCCTTGGTTTTATGCGTTCTTTTATTATTTTACCCAATTCGCGCGCGCGCAACTTGTCAAGAATTTCAATGAGTTCGTTTCCCTTTCGGTAGTCGCTCGACTGGTGGTCGGCCGGTGGTGGAGGTGGCTCAGTGGTGCGGTGGCCAAAGCAACGGGCAGCTGTATTAAAGTAGAACCTGTTGAATTATTGGTGTGATTCAGCAAGAAGTAACAAAACGACAAAAACGAAATAGATAAACAATGGGATAGAAATGAAGAAATATGTTGAGAAAATGTAAAACAGCTGGAAGCTGCTGATCAGGCTGCTGCTTAAAGAGCCACCATTGATGCCTAGCATATTAGCATATGAAACTAAAATATAGATCGATAAGTGTTTGTATCGATCAAATTATAGAAGCTATGAATAAATGAATTATGAACCTGTATAGTACAATGGAGAATTGTAAAAAGCAGCATTATTAGTAAAAAAAAAATATATATA